TTCATTATCAATATCCACTTCACATGATCTACTTGAGTGGTAATTTCCTGGTCATACAACTAGCTAAAGTGGAATGTTTATGAAATAATAATACTACTAGTGCAAATGGTTCTTTATTTATCATACAATAATCGCATTCACTGGATACGAGTGTAATGTTTGCATTAATTATAACACATTCCATACTACCTTGAACTTGTTATAATACTGCTATAATTATGCTGTTGCTGGCATCGATAAGAACATTCTGGTGAGTGAAATTATTATACACAGCCATCAATACTAGATGGGATTCCACTTTAGTTAATGCTGAAAGCAGTAATGCTATTATCAAAAAACTGGCCAGAAAATAACTATAATGCGATCAAAGCTGATAAAGCTTTGGCCTTCTTTCTTATTTATAGGTTTAGGCCAATCTATAAATATTCGAATTTCAGCAGGATCTGTATACACTTCATCTCTATTTATGGTATGTCCAAGAAACTCTTTCTGCATCTGCATGAGAGAACACTTCTGTGGCTTTAGTTTCAGACTTGCTTATTACAAGTATTGAAATACCATACTTTGTTTTCTCAACTTTGGCCTGAAACATGCAACAAATACCAAAATACTGTCAACATAAACTGGACACCGTACCCTCTGCAACCCATATAATATTAATCTAATTAACCATTGAAAATAACTGGTACATTACACGGGTCAAATGGCATAATGCAACATTCATAAATTCCTTCTTCAGTACTGAAAGCAGTCTTAGCTCTGATTTCATCATCTTGCTCGACTTGCAAGTAGTGAAAACGAAAAGAAGTTCACAAAGTAAACCCAAAAATTAATAAATTAAAGACATTTACTTCAAACCAGGAACAGTTTAAAAACACTGTGTTTGACACATCACACGTTCATGTGTGTATGTGTGTGTTTTTTCATAACAAAGCCACTTCGGGCTATCTACTGTGTCCACCAAGGGGAATCAGCCCCTGATTTTAGTGTTGTAAATCCATAGACTTATCGCTGCCCCAACGGGGGACCACGTTCATGCAATTGATGATATAAATAGCGTTAAGACCACTATTGTGTATGTCGTACCCCAGTCGACCAGGTGAGTCCTGATATTGAACAATAGGCCTCATTGGCACTGGATGTGGCAGATGTAGTGTGGTTAATATATTATAGTGTATTATTCTTTGCTTTCACTTATTAGTTCCTAGGATTTGATAGATAGGAAACAAGGGATCAAAGGAAAATATTTTGAGCTTCCGAAACACAAAGATACGATACCCTAGAAAAACTCGGGCGCTTTCAAAAGGTAGACCTTTCTTCTTCAGGAACACACTGGGCTTTGAAAAATGTCTGAACACCAGAACTTGAATATCAATGTTTTTATTTGGAGCTCTCATATTTCCTCTTTTCTTGGTCTGAATCTTTCCATCATTGGCTGAAAAGAGTTATATTGTTAGAGATAAAGGATATGGCAGTAGTTTGGTATTTCTCCTAAGATATCTTGCTTAGATCAGATTTTTGTTACAAAAGTTCGTGCAAAACTACACAAGTGCTCCCTGCACATAGTCTCCCTAATTTTTGTTATCACACTTATGGTGTTCATACATCTCCAGTGCATAGAGCTTTTTGGGGAAGGAGAACGTGAACCATAAGCCCTCCAATTCTCAGTCCGAGCACGTTAAACACTATAGGCTAGGGTGATAATAACTCTCTAAACTCTCCTAATAACTTAGAAAGAAGTTTAATAAGAATGAACTAACATTACAGGTTGGAAGTTAGGAGAGTATTAATTTACTGTTTACAAAGAAAAGAATTAAATTTTTCGATCTTACCAAACTGACAGATTGAGCTTGAGAGAGAGAGACAAAGAACTAACCAACTGATTGTGGTATTATATACCAAATTCTACAATACTATATTATCAGGACGTATGCACCGCCTATGGCAGTTGGTCAATCCCATTGAAATATCAGGGAGGTCGTAACCTAGAGATATCACCTGACCTACCATTGAAGGACAATGCTGCCTACATTCTTGTACAATGTGCAGTATTACACGCATACTCTCCAAGAGCAGAATAAATATTTCCCGAGAATTATAAAGGAACAAAGACACCTAGAAGGAAGTCAACTATATAACAACTTTCTTGACCACGTGTAATGCGAAAACTGCATATACTCAGAAACAAGCGATAAATATAATATAATAGAAACTCATGGTATGTTTACATACCACAATAGCAGTGTTTCTTCTTCAATGATTCTGACTATTAATACATTTCCAACGTTTTTGACATTATTGTTAGTTTATTCCTTCCTGGTTTAGCTTTAAAATTACTCTTTCAGTTCAGTAAGGTTATTTCATAGGTGGAGCATGCTAATAATTTGTTTCTATCCTGTTCTGCTCTTAAATTAATATTACGTAACATTATGAATATGAAACATTCAGCTAACAGCCTGTTCAAGCTGTTTATATTGATTACCGTATTTTTCAGTGTATAAGA